ATTTAAGCTGAATTTGAGGTTAGTAATCAAGAAACGAGATGGGGTTTCCATGGATAAACTTTGTTTTACCTATTGAGACGTTGAGGAGATGAAGCATGAAGAGAAGGAAGAGGATGATGAGAATCTTGTTCATTAACAACCCTTCGATCAACACGTTGAGATGTGATTTTCTTCTTCACAAGAATTCCATTTCCATCTGATTTCCCATTCATAACTGTTGACTCTTTGACCTTTACACATCTCAGTCTCTTTCTATTCCCCCACTGTAACTTATCCATTACGCCAAATTTTCAATCTTTATCTCTGATAAGCAAATCAAAACATCATTCCAGTGATGAACCCTAGCAGATGATAATAACACCGAAGAACCAAAATATATATAAAAATACAGAATACCCACGTGAAAACAGCATCAAATCTTGCAAATAACCCTGCATTTCAAAATCATTGAAGAACATGAGAAAAAAAGCAAATCAAACAAAATCCCAGATGAAAAAATTACGAAGAATGGAAGGTAAAGATGAGGCACATCACAAGAACAACAAAGCTTCAATCTTTATCTTCCCAAAATCAAGAGTTCTAACATTTCTTGAAAACCCAATTTCTGTGGAAAGATCGTCGGAAAGATCAAGCTTGCCTTCAGCCATCGGGCCGTCAGGAGAGAGGATCTGTTTACAGAGAGAGGGATGAGAAGGCCGAGAGAGAGTGGAGAGATATTGAATCGAACGAAAACTCGAGAGGGACTGGATGGAGAGCATAAGCCGCCTGACTTTGGGCAGAGTTGTGGAGAGCATGCGAGGAGAGGGCGTGCGAATTTGGTTTAGGGAGAAGAAAAAGCAGAGCGCGTGCGAATCTGGTTTACAGTGGAGAGCATAGAGTAGTGGGTTTAAGACTTTATGCATAAAAGAGTTGTACTTTATGCTGTGTAACTGGTCCTTAAGAGTTTTTTGAAATTTATGCATAAAATGGCAGTACTTTGTGCTTAAATGGTTGTACAATATTTAATACCTGTATTTAAAAACTGCAAATCCTCCCTCTGTCGTCGTCGCTCCTCCTCCGCCAAACGTCGCTCCTCCGCCGCCCGCCATCGCTCATCCTCCGCCATCCGTTGGCATTTATTTTTATACACATCTTACATATACCATTCCATAAATATACATACAATGGGTTGTCAATCTTACATATATTTTAAGCAACTAGAAATACATACAATGGGTTGTCAATCTTACATATATCTTAAGCAACTAGAAATACATACAATGGGTTGTCAATCTTACATATATTCCATAAATATAGGCGGATTACCGGCGGAAATTTCCGCCGGAAAAAACATTTTCAGAATTTTTTAAATTTTTTATTTTTCTAGAAAAACTAAAAAAAATAAAAACAAAATTCCGGCGGATTACCGGCGGAAATTTCCGCCGGAAAAAACATTTTCAGAATTTTTTAAATTTTTTATTTTTCTAGAAAAACTAAAAAAAATTAAAAAAACAATTCCGGCGGATTACCGGCGGATTTGCCGCCGGAAAATTTTCAAAATATTTTAAAATTTGAAATTCTGAAATTTCAAATCTTTTGAAATTTTCGTTTAAAATTTCAAAATATTTTAGAATTTTTCGTTTAAAATTTTCAAAATATTTTGAAATTTGAAATTTTGAAATTTCAAATCTTTTAAAATTTGCGCCAAATCTTTTGAAATTTTCGTTTTCCGGCGGAACATCCGCCGGTAATCAGCCGAAAACGTAAGTTTTTATTTTTTTTACTTTTTCTAGAAAAATAAGATATTTTAAAAATAATGGAAATACTTTTAATTTATTTAATTTATAATTTTTTTAATTATTATTATTATTATTATTATTATTATTATTATTATTATTATTATTATTATTA